CTCCACATTAGATCTTCGTTATATTTAGTGACTGGTAAAGACATTGGGGAGATAAATTATTAACAGAATATTCTCACATGAACTGACGTGGACACTGGATTGCAAAAAAAAAAAATCATTCTTAATCAGTGGTTTTGTCTTATTTTCTGGTAAAATTACCTAAAAATGCTTGCAATAAGATTAATTTACAACATAAGCAAACATTGTGTAAACCTCAACTAAACTAAAATCTGAAAATCAAGTCACTCATTCATGCTCTGAAAAGCACTAATATCTTATGCATTTTGCTACTCATGTAAATATATCTGGTTTCAAGCATGTTTAGATATTTTTACTAGAAAATATAGAGATACTAATGACAAATGGGCTTTTTTTTGCAATGTGGATGATATTAAACAAGCACAAAGAGGATTAAATGATTCTGCCATGTTGAGAGATGGAGTGCGGAGCTTTTGCTAGACTGAATTTGGACATTGAACGCTTCTCTTTCCCTGCAACAGATGTATAAAGCCTTTCTTATGTGTTTTCTTGGATCTCATAAAGACTTCTATCAGAATAACACAAGTGTTATCCAGTGTATTCAGAAGAGGTCACAGCAAATTCGATTAGTTGTGCCGTATAGTCTTTGCTGTTCTCTGTAGTGTTGTATTATGTCTGTGTTACTGTTTGTGTCTGTATTTTTGAGTTTCAGTATGTAAAGAATCAAGTTAAATCTAAGCACTGATCTGACACAGAAAGAGTGGAGTATTGTTGTAGTTCTGTGGTGACTGGTGACATTCATGAATGCACAAATGCAGACACAGCACAGTGATGTCATAGTGCGGACATTTGATGGTCACAGTGGTTTCTAAGAGTTTAGGAGATTCATTAAGTAGCCACTTCCTGATGCTCAAGATTTCTGTCTCAGATAAAAAACCCATTGACTTCTAATAGAGACTGTTAAAGAGTGAGTTCCTTCTTGTTGTCCTTTATAAAAACACCACACTATTTCAGAGATAAAGACCATCAAACTTCACTAAATCTTTGAAATAAAGCCAAATATAAAGAGCACTCAAGGTGGTGGGTGACTTTTACTTGCTTTAAAACAAGAAAAGATGAGAACTGCTAATGTTTACTTATCAACTGTATAATTATCTGATGTTATGAAATGTGTTTAATATTCATGGAAATGCATTGAAAAAATAAGACAGTTAAGCCAAGTGAAAATACACTGCGTTGTGCATTGAAATGAATTAGCCAAATTTTTTTTTTTTCTTCATTTTTTTTTTCTGGTGTTAAAATTATGTATTAATATTAATGCATTAATATAAACTTTCATATTGCTGCTTTTTTTGTTGATATTTTGTATTTGCTGGCTATATCAGTTGTGCAATATATGGACATCAATATTTTATTTCAGTGAACAGTATGGTATTGTTGTTTTTCTGATAGTTTCCAGGCTTTCTGAAATGTCATTTATTCCTAGCTTCCTGAGGGTATGGCAGTTTTCCCAGGCAGGTCAAGAGGTCAGGGTGCCATGGGGTCAGTTCAATGACTGGAATGCACATCATGTGTGTCTTGTCAAAACAATGCACTATTACAAAATACATTTGCATTAGATTTTCTGTTTTGGAGGAACAAATGCTGGATGTTTACATGTGGTATTTTAAACAGGAAGTAATAATTTCAAGGCTCTAAACTGGCTGTCTCAGAGGATTGGCTAATGTTCAGACATGAACAGTGTTGTAAAATAACATTATTTGAGGCAATCAGAGAGAAAAAAAAGAAATAAATTTTTTGTAGAATGACAAAATATTAAGGTGTTTTTCTGTGATTTATTGACTGCCAGTGTGAACAGCTATAAGTAGGTCACTCGTCTCTCACTGGCTAGAATTCATTTACCCAAAAGCCTCATTTTGTGGTAAAAAAAATGGACTACCTATATACAGCACTGCCCTGTCTTATGCCCTGTAGTCCCATATATTTCTTCTTAATTTCCCCTTCTGTCCAATTAAGCTTAATCCAGTATTGCAAATTTGTTTTTCTAATTCATTTTCTACCAGCATTTGTGCTCTAAAGCAGACAAACTGCTTTCCTAAAGCTGAACACATCCATGATCTGCCTCGGAGAAACTCACCAGACCCTCTTTGCTCATGCTTATCTGCTGATATTTTTGTACTGCATATTTACAATAGATAAAAACTTAATTGAAAATAATGTGATTTCTGTCATTCTCCATGTAATCCAGAAGTACATAAGATGTGATGGGACATTGCATTAGTAATATGTATTTAGGTTTTAAATGACTTCTCAGTATGTGAGTAGCAATCCGCCTGTAGCCCAACTGAACACATGCACTGGAGTAAAAAACAAAACAAAAGCAAAAAACGTTGTTTGTACAGTATACCATTATGATTATCTTATAATCATGGAAGAGAAAAACACCATGTTTATGATCATGACTTATCTGACTTCTGATCATCAGTGATCAAAGTGACCTATTGTGAAAACTTTGTTTGCATGTTTTTGATCTGTATGGGGTGCTGAGTGTGCTTTTGTTTGGGTGGGTAAAGAGTAGCAATCCGCCTGTAGCCCAACTGAACACATGCACTGGAGTAAAAAACAAAACAAAAGCAAAAAACGTTGTTTGTACAGTATACCATTATGATTATCTTATAATCATGGAAGAGAAAAACACCATGTTTATGATCATGACTTATCTGATTTCTGATCATCAGTGATCAAAGTGACCTATTGTGAAAACTTTGTTTGCATGTTTTTGATCTGTATGGGGTGGTGAGTGTGCTTTTGTTTGGGTGGGTAAAGATGAGGTCATCACTGCAGATGATGTAATGCATTGAAGATAATCAGACAGATCACATTTCATATCAGCTTTTTCATTTAGATGTAACCACACTTGGATTATCATCACAAACTCTTTTTTTCCTGTTAATTCTGACAAATGGTAAATAGAAATAATAAAGCATTAACCACTGCCCTGACTGGCTTATTGCCTTGTTCTGATTCCGTGAAGTGGGTCAGAACAAATAGAAAAAAAAAGAGTAACCACTCTTTGCTTCTCTTTTCCTCCTGACCCAGATTTCTCTCTGCCTGCACACAGAGAGAGACTGCAGCACCCTTAAAAACTGCTGCAGCAGACACACACACAGAGAGAGAGAGAGAGAGAGAGTCTGGTTCACTATCCTTGTGGGGACTCCCCATAGGTGAATTGGTTTTTATACTATACAAACTGTATTTCCTACACCTAAACATACCCCTCACAGAAAACTTTGTGCATTTTTACAATCTCAAAAAAACAAAACAAAACAAAAAAACTCATTCTGTATGATTTATAAGCTTCTGTACCCATTGAGGACCTCAATTTAGGTCCCCATGAGTTGGTGTGTATTCAGGTTTAAGTCCTCACCAGTATAGAAAAACATGTACACACACACAGTTTTCATTTGTCATATACATTTATCCTCAGCATTTTATCATGAAGGTCCACACACACACACACACACACACACACAAAGATATTCGCTATTGCCAGGCCTTCGCCAAACTACAATTCAGCTAACTGTGTCACCATCAAAACAACCATGCTTTCCTGAAAAACTGCAGAGAAAAAAGGCCTCAATCTGAGCAATCCAGCTGACTGCTGGTTTCTAGGCAACGGGAGCCTGTCTCTATAGCGACCGAGTAAAAGATAGATGGTGGAGCATGGGTTAAAGAGGAGAGAATAATTGTATAAATGTAATATTTAATAAAATTTACATTTAATAAAAAATTTAAAATATGTAAAAATAATTAATTAAAAAAACTACAGTGTTGTTACTGAGATTTATTTCGTGAGCGATGAATTTATTTGATCTTCCTTATGTTCTTCCCAAACCCCTCCCTTCATTCACTCTTTCCTCAGGAGACCGCAATGTTCAGCACCACGGACAGCGACCCGCCTAACCAAATGTCCGTTGCCACGGTAACGGACTGCGGGCGGGGAGGGGTGCATGATGCTGCAGCCTGTAATTTGATGCACAGACGTGAGGCTCAACACACCAGATCCGGGGATCTCGTATAGCTGTGCAGTCTATGTTAAACAAACACACTGTATAACGCAGAAATGTATAATAATCTATGACTGCCTTTTTATGATATAGGAGAAGTATTGATGAACATGTGTGATTGATATGTATATTTGATCTTCACTTCACAGAGTACGTCCGTAAAAAAAGAGCATGTGATGTGAATCACTTCGCTCTGCCCTCTGGTGTCTTTTGTCTGATATGTGGTTTGGATTTCACAGACCAGCTCAGATATGGGAATGCTCATACGTAAGCAGCTGCGGTGGGAGGGATCACAGAACAAAAGACGCGGGTGGGGCCGAGTTTGTCACGTGATCTGTGTAACTGAACCACAAGGTGTCACTGCTCACCATGCAGTTAGACACTAGAACACTGCATACTTACTAATTCTAGCTCATTTATTCTTTTAAAGCATGATAAAGCATGATTTTAATGCGGATTTCAAGAAAGGAAAAAAAAAAAAGTTTTATAATTTTTTTAATCTAATGAGATATTTCGTTCTCTTTTAGTACATTTGGTGTTGTGATGCCTCAATTTTAAAATTGTAAACTTTATAATATTATTTGAAAATAATAATAATAATAATAATTATTATTATTATTATTATTGTTATTATTATTATTATTATTATTATTATTATTATTGTTGTTGTTGTTGTTGTTGTTGTTGTTGTTGTTGGTACTCATTAACATCACTAGAAGATGGAAGTTATGCAGTTCTGCAAAATCGCTGTGAGTGGCGCTACAATACTAATCATCGCTAACAGTCCTGTTGAGCAGGTTCACTTCGTGGGCTGGCGTGTCAGACATCACTCTGGCTTTGAACAATGAACAACCACGACGATTTTAGATCTGTCTGTTAATTTGGAATTTGGAATAGCATACATGAGTTGACCGCATTTGCTTAAAACTATTTTCATTGGTGTTCAGAGGAAGCATGGCAAGCGAAAATAAAATAATATGGATGAGCAAGATTTTTTATCTGATATGTTTGCTGTTCAATTCCGGAAGAAATGCTACCCAGATAAATTATTCCCTTCTAGAAGAATCAAAAACTGGAGTCATTGTGGGGAACATTGCAAAGGATTTAGGGATTGACCCGGCTTTACTGGAAAACAGGAATTTACGTATCGTTGCGGGGACAAAGCAAGAGCTCTTTCGGGTAAATCATGAAGACGGCGCTTTGTTTGTGAACCAGAGAATAGACAGAGAAGAGCAGTGCGCTAAAACCAACCCATGTCTTATTCATCTCAAAGCAGTGATAGAAAATCCACTCGAAATGCACCAGATATCAGTTGACATTATCGATGTCAATGATAATCCACCGAGTTTTTTAGACGAAAACCATAAATTGGAAATACTTGAATCTGCAATGACAGGGGCACGATTTCAGTTAGAAACTGCGCACGACCCGGATATAGGCTCAAACGATTTGCAGTCATATAAACTGAGCCAAAATCTTTATTTTCGTTTAGAAACGGAAGACATGGGAGACGAAGGTAAGATTCCTGTTCTAATTTTACAAAAACCTCTCGACAGAGAGAAAATCGCAAGACATAACCTAATATTAACTGCGACGGACGGTGGCAAGCCACAGAAATCAACTACTGTAAATATTACTATTGTTGTGTCGGACATCAATGATAATGCCCCAGTTTGTGATAAGCAAAAATACACAGTAACAGTAAAAGAAAATGCCCCTGAAGGTACATTTCTGCTGCGCGTTAATGCTTCAGATTCAGATGAAGGACCGAACGGAGAAATTGAATACTCTTTACGGAACAAGTTCAGGAACGGAGCATCTGAGGTTTTTGATTTGGATAGTTTGACGGGGGAATTAAAGATAAAAGGTGGGCTAAATTTTGAGGAAAGGCAGGTTTATGAGCTAAAGATACTGGCTGCGGATAAGGGGACCGTATCTTTGTCTACACAGTGTAATGTGCTTGTAAATGTTGAGGATGTCAACGACAACCGGCCTGAGATTGACGTCACTTCAGTGTCCAGCCACATTTCGGAGGATGCGCCTCCTGGGACTGTCGTAGCTTTGATGGGAGTTACAGACCTGGATTCAGGTATGAACGGAAAGATGGTTTTCTCTCTGCCTAAGGATATTCCTTTTGACCTCAAGCCGTCGCCTGATGGAAACTTTTATTCTTTGGTAACTAAAGAATACATTGACAAAGAATCGAAATCGTCTTATGATATCACTATAACAGCCAAAGATTTAGGAACGCCGTCCTTAACGTCAACAAGATCAATTCACGTCGATGTCACTGATGTTAACGACAACAGCCCCACATTTGCTCAAAGTCCATATACATTCTACGTGGCTGAAAACAACAAACCAGGAATTGCCGTTTTCTCATTGAGTGCAGTTGATATAGATGAAGGTGAAAACGCACGTGTATCGTATTCAATTGATCGAATGAATTCAGACCAAAGCATGACATCTTTCCTGAGTATTAATGAGGCGAATGGTACCGTTTACTCACTGAGGAGCTTTGACCCCGGGCAGTAATGGAAATACTCTAGTGATACCAGATCGCAGGAGGAGAGATTCTGGAGCGGTAAGATGCATCTTCAATAATACTATTTTGATAAGTTTGCACGTGTGTGTACGCCTTTCGAAGAGCTGTCCTTGGTGCTGAAATTCGAATCCATGCATTCTCACGAACTGCTTCCCTGATAAAGTTTCGTCTCACAATATAACTTTTTTTCTTCTCAAGAACATAAACTGCTATTTTAGCAGTGATGGAAAACGTACACAGTTTTCATAAGTGAAAGTACGGATAGCACACCAATATATTACTGAAGTAAAAGTAACCTATTAAAACATTAAAGTAAAATACCTTTAAAAACGTTATTAACTATCGAAAATAAAAGTGAACGCAAAGTAAAAGTTAAATGCATTATTCTAATAAAAAGCGACCCATTCGGCCACTTCTAAAACCAGAAGGTATTAAAATAAATGACACTGTGACCAGAGTGGTTGAAGACTGAGAATTTTATTTAGAAATAATTTGTGGTTCATGGAACTGAATATGAATATGTGAATATGAGCTTGGTTACAAATGGACCTGTTCCAGTTTAAAACATGATTTGAAAATGGAAAAACAAATGTAATATTTAGCATCTGTTGTATATTTAAGAAAAAGTAAAAAAAAAAAAAAAAAAAAATCATGGCATAAACCACTGGCATCATTATTTAAAACCACATCAGCAGTAAAACCACATTCAGCTGAGCGCAAATACGTTTATCCATTGTTGTGAAAATCTGAACATAAGGCCAAAATGGCTATAATGCAATTTAAGAGTTGCAACACATTGGCTGCAGACATGCACTTGCACTCTCAGACACCTGCGCTTCCGCATTTTTTTTTGTATATATTTTATTTATTTATTTATTTATTTTTATTGAATCTCTCAGAATTTTTGCATTGCAGACATGCACTTGCACTCTCAGTAGGGTGGCCATATGTGCCGTTCATACAGGGCACGTCCTGGCCAGGATTGGGCAAGGACGCGTCCCGTAAAAATGGCCCGTATGGTCACCCTAACTCTCAGACACTTGCGCTTCCACAAGTGACGTTACTTGCAATCTTTATTTTATTTTATTTTATTTATTTATTTATTTTTATTGAATCTCTCAGAATTTTACAACAGTAGCTAGGAGTTGAAGGCAAGAAAAAAGAAACAAAATTACAATGTAATTTGCAATCGCCACCTGCTACCTACCTCACTTGCAATCGACACAAATGGTGCGTGTTGCCAATGGAGACGAGACGCTGTGCTGGTTAAATTATTAAAACTAAATTAGTACCATAACATACAGCAGGTACAAAAAAAGTTTGACCCGCGCTAATTTCAAATAATGTGGCATGAAAATTCAAACGCAGCATCAGCAAGCTACATTAACTTACATCGTGTCTACACCTGACGCGAGCGGCGCGATGCAATAAAATACAAGAACTCGTTATAATCATCAGTGATGCTGTCTTGGATGCTGCGCGACACGTGTCAGTGGCCCTTGGCTTGGTATTGTTGGCAGAATTCGGCCCTCGGCGAAAACTAATTGAGGAACTCTGACGTACAGGGTAGGCCTACTGCAAGTCACGTGTAGGAGAAAAAGACAAGACCCGCAAATCCGTGGCGTTATCCTCCCGTAGAAAATCATAAACACTTAATATGGCTTAATGTAAAAAGTAATGCTATTAAACGACTCGAAATTCGATATACAGTTAATTAATATTACAAGGCAAGCAGATGGCCAGTATATGAACACAACGTGCAATTTAACGCGTTGCGTTCTGAGCTCGTCTTCTTGCGTGTATGGATTTGGTCCTTTTGATATCACTTTCTTAATGCATTTCTTAATACACGCTCATCTACGAGTGCTCTGTAGTAATCGTAAAGCCCGAAGTGCATCGTAAGAAGACAGAGTTATTAGGTCTCCTGCAGGACAATCGGCAGATTGCACCTTTAACTTTATTCAAGTGCATATAAGATTTTGATTGTACTTCTCTTTATTACTCTTTTATTGTTTAAATGAATTTAAAAATGAAATAATTAAAAAGAAAAGGAAAGAAAATGAAAAAAATAAAAATATACATAAATATGTATATATAGAACAGTGCTGATAAAACATGTCTGCAATACACTGTAGAAATGTATTGGCTAGATCAAGTACAAATATTTGTGCTACTATCACCCTTAATGTATACACTTTATATATTAATAATATCTAAACTTACATGTTTTTGTTTGAAAATATATCAACCATTAGTCATTCACTTCAGAAACACTTGGAAGAACTCATAAGTATTCTTATAGTATTTCATAGGGTCTTAGGCCTTGGGTGGTTCAACAAACACATGGCCATCAAAAACTTTGAATCAACGTGGTTTTATTGATTTGAGTCAATGAGCTGCTGTTGAAAATTTTTGTTCCTCTTATTGGCCTCTTTAAGACATTGTCTAATGTCTTTCAAGATATATCTCCAGCTGCACTGACTAGGCTACAACCACAGACATTCTCAAACTGCTGAGGTGTTGTGGCTGCGGTCTGGACAACTGAAGATGGAGGCTGAGGCCTGAGAGGGTTGTTTGGAGTACTAGGAGATGGTTGGTGCTGGGAGATGGCAGGTGAAACTGATGCCGGTTGTCCTGCAGGTGACCTCATAACTTTTGTCTTCTTACAATGCACTTCGGGCTTTACGATTACTCCAGAGCACTCGTAGATCTGGGATGATTTTCAAGTGCAACTTAAGTTACGATGCTTGTGGGAAACAGACCGTTATACTAAAATCAGTCGTATGATCGTTTTTACGATCTACTTAGGCTTACGATGCTTTTGAGAAACGCAGCCATGATTAGTTGTATTATGATTTGCTTTAAAGCGAGTGAAGTCTGATGATACATGCATTGGCAAGTGGATTCTAATGTTTCCTATCACTGAATTTCTTTATTATCGGCTATATTCTCAGTTAGCCTCATGGTGTCAGTATTATACAAGGAAACCTTTTTAAATACTGTCCCTCCTCTTCGAGACGTCACACCGTTGTTCCTTTCCACAAAAAGCGCAATTCTGTTGTTGTTGAAACCTAGGATACCTTGTTGTCTGCGTGGATTATGGTGAATTGTTTGAAAAAAAATGGACATTTTATAACATCTCGGAGATTTCGCTCATGAAGAAATCACAAGAGCAACAATAATTTGTTTTTTGATAAGCGTTTGAATCATGGTGGAACACGAAGGACAAAGGAGCAGATGGGAGTGCTGGTGGATCGCTTTGTGTTTCTCTTTTCTGCTGTACTTCGGAGAGCATGTTTCAGCTCAGATAAAATACTCTATTCCAGAGGAGGTAAAAGATGGAACCGTCGTTGGAAATATTGCGAAGGATTTGGGCCTAGATGTCGGTGCTTTGGCGGACAGGCGGTTCCGTATTGTATCTGGATCCAATGATTTTTTTTTTCAGGTAAATCAGAACGGCGTCTTGCACGTTCATAAGAAAATCGACCGAGAGGCGCTGTGTGATAGTCATAGCGCATGCTTCATAAATCTGAAGATTGTTGTAGAAAATCCTCTTGAAATACATTATATTGCAGTGGAGGTGACCGATGTAAATGACAATTCGCCCAGTTTTAGTGAACACGAGAAACGATTGGAGATTTCAGAATCGACTGCTAGAGGGATGCGTTTTCAGCTTAAGGCCGCGCGTGACCCGGATGCAGGGGTAAATTCTGTTCGTACATACAAATTAACCCAAAATGAACACTTTGATCTGGAAGTCAGAGATCAGGGAGAAGATAAACTGCCATTTTTAATTTTACAAAAATCTCTTGACCGCGAGATCAATGATCAATATCATTTAGTTTTAACAGCAGTTGATGGAGGAAATCCACAAAGATCAGGAGCTCTAAATGTGACAGTTGTTGTTCTTGATAACAATGACAACAGACCTGTTTTTAGCCAAGATATATATTCAACAAATTTAAAAGAAAATATACAAGTTGGAACGCTAGTCATACAGGTTCAAGCAAGTGATGCAGATCATGGCTCAAATGGAGAGGTTACCTACGCGTTTGGCAGCGATCAGAACCCAAAGGTGTATGAAATATTTAGTTTGGATAAACTGACAGGTGACATTCGTGTGAAAGGCGATGTAGACTTTGAGGAGAAATCCATTTACAAACTTGATGTTCAAGCGTCTGATAATGGCCAGCCCCCTATGAAGACAGATTGTAGAGTTGTCATCAAAATTTTAGACACAAACGATAACACACCCGAGATCGATGTAACGTCACTGTCGAAAATGGTGTCTGAAGACTCCAAGCCTGGTACTGTAATCTCACTCATTAGTGTTTCTGACAGAGACACTGGTGTTAATGGAAAAGTGATGTGCTCTCTCTCAGAAAACGTTCCATTTGAATTAAAACAATCAGTTCAAGAAAACATGTACTCGTTAATGACTAAAGGGAGCCTGGACCGTGAAACTGTATCACATTATGACATTACAATAACGGCGAGCGACTTGGGTCAGCCTCCACTGTCCTCATATAAAACTCTGAGCGTGCAGGTGTCAGATGTTAATGACAACCCGCCTGAATTTAGCCTAAATCCTATCGAATTTTATATGATTGAAAACAACGCTGCAGGCGCGCCCATTCTCACGCTGAGTGCTTTTGACAAAGACCTAAATGAAAACTCTGTGATTTCATATCAGATTATTAAAGGAAATGGGACACAAAGTGACATGACATCTTTTCTAAATATTAATTCTGAGACAGGCGCAATTTATGCACTTAAAAGTTTTGATTTTGAGACTGTCAAAACCTTTCAATTTTACGCGCTCGCTACAGACTCTGGAACTCCGTCTCTGAGCAGTAACGTGACAGTGAACGTGTTTATTCTGGATCAGAACGACAACGTTCCAGTGATCTTATATCCAGTCAGCGCTAACGGTTCTGCTGAGGGTGTGGAAGAGATTCCCCGTAATGTGAACGCAGGTCATTTGGTGACT